ATGCATCAGAACTGGCATATTTGTGGATTTAATGTAGAGGGTGAAAGTGAGCCTATTCGCGCAATCATAACGTCAAATGTGATGCTGCTATATATTGCATCGTTGTTACGTACACTTAGGCAAGTCAGACGCGGAACGGAAGAAGATACGCGCGCGCGCAATAAGCGTTTGCCCGTTTGTGCAAATAGAAACACACTTGGTCAACAAGCTGGTACGCGACATTGCTGGCCTCTGCTTCATATGTTATGAGGACAGACAACATAATAGGGAAGTAGAAGTGGGGAAAATTTAGCGTAGGGTAGGGTTAATGGGGTAAGGTGTGGGTTTATTTAGGGATTTAGGGATTGATGCGATTATTCCTGACAAGGTAAAGCGCAAATGCCTTGGGAGCCTATGTCAAATAAACTAAATGAAGAGCTAGTAGTAAAGAAAATTGATAAATCGATCGATAATTTTTTGGAAAAACAACATGTTACATTCTCGTATCAATGGAGCATTCCATAAAAGTCTCTTTTTTTCAGGTTCAATCGTAGTCTGTGAAGGAGGCACAGCTGAACTTGTGTGCCCTCGTGGTACGGTAATATCCATAGCACTAGCAAACTATGGACGCTATTCGGCTCGAGTCTGTTATGAGAACGAAGATCTCGATGATGTCGTCCCAATGACGCAATGTCACAATCCAAAAACTATGCCGACATTGAGGAAGAGGTCAGTTTTAGCCTTTTGATTTCACAGAACAATCCGACCCTAAGAGCACTTCACACCCCTAAAGGCACCAATTGCGTGCAAAGCGTTGAATATTTCATGTACACAGGGTTGTGCGGGTTGTGTACGTACACATTTATGCGCAGTTCACCGCCTTTCGATTGTGCATAATGAAGCTGAAAGCTGAGAGCGGCGCGAGCACATCGAAGGACAAGTTTTATGCTCTTCGGGCTAACAGATAGGGCTGCACAACCCTTTTATGGCAGGTGAGACATAAGCTGTGAGTGAGCACGCTGAAGTTTACGACTATATAGTATGGTGACTCGTCCAAAAGGCATCTCTGACGACCGTAACTCTTCTTACCTACTTCTGTTATCTGTGCTATTATCACCAACCCGCGGACGAGTTTGCTAGGGAACCAAGTGAAATTTCACTACTTATCCCACTTATAATGACAGATGGCGTTTTTCCTCTACGAAGGCCTTGAGATCAGGAGATGGGCATGGAATTAAGGATTTGCCCGGCGCCATTGGAACACACACGGTGGCCTTGTTAATAGAGAGTTTCTCACGTAGTAGTGAGGTGTTCCAATGGGACAAGGAGCGGAGTGGAAGGCCTAAAAATTCTTTTCCAAAGCTAAAACTCCTCGATTTTATAGATGTTTTGGAGTGTAAGAGCAGGAAAAATTCATCCATAAATGTGTAACCCTGCCTGTATCTGATTTGTTTCTTAACGCGAAACTTTTTACAATTTCCGCATCTACATAATACTACATAAGACTTCCACCTGACCAATTCTGTATACCTTCTGTCCTCAGAAAAAGGCGACAAACTCGTCCATATATGATCAACTGGCTACTCGGCTCAGATTCCTATCGTTCCTTCGCCCTATGCGATTGATCCCGAAAAATGAATGAATGCCCATGCATCTTATGCAAATGATGCCGCCCTCAGCACCAAGGGTTTTGGGTAACGTTCAATCCCGTTGGGGTCTCTTTTCGCGCATCTTACATATGCAAAGAGCGAACACATCAAAGGTGCGGCGAGTGGAGGGAGGAAGACAGATGGTATGGGGCTTTTAAGGGTTGGAAAGGTCCACAGTAATCCGTTGTGATTTTTTTCGACTGTCAGGTAAGGGAAGACTTGTAAATGCTGACATTCCATAAACTAAAATGCGAGATATGATAGTTCGTAAAAATGGTCTTTTTTAAAGGTGGAACGGCGCCTCCGAACTTGAAATGGTTCTGTAGAATTCAGCACCTCTTGTAATCGAAAAAGCGACCTTGTTTTTTTT